CGGTACTTAAATTCAGGATACGAACGGAGTAAGTCGTGACCATTAGTGCTAATTAATATCGCGAGTCTTTATCACCCGGGTCTTTATCGTATACGGATCGTATATGAGTTGGTATTGATCGAGATTCGAGATAAATTAATGAGAAAGAATAAGACGGAACGAACGAACGCGATTGATCCTCCGTTCTTCCGTTTTTGGCGCGAAGGAGGAAGCCCGTTTTGCGATGTTCAGACTTCTCGCTCGATCCTCGTCGAGTGTTTCACTTCGTCCGTGCTTCACTCTACTTACTGTGAGGCTGACCCTGTTCGTAATAATTAATGGCGTTAGGCCAGGTGAGTGCGTGCGGCGATTTACTCATGTCTGGCCCTGGTGATAAATACACGCCGAGTATCCGTTTGCGTCCGCGACTAATGTCATAGCGCGCCCGTTCCTCCGGTTGTTAAATAATTTCCGTGCGCAATTGAGCACGCTCGTAATTAACGACGTTGTAATTAACGGCGTTAGCGCATGCAAATCGCTCGCGAGGTTAGCGATTACCCTCACGCTAGACGCGAGGCGCGGTCTAATTGATCATTAACACGGGGATTCATCGATCTCCGCTCCACCTTCCCTCGATCTTGCGACTTCTCTTGATCGTGACTTCGGATATTACGTTATTGTACACAGTCTCGACGATCTGTAAAGACCCGGAACACCTCCGACGAGGTGAGCTACGAGGACGGCTGAAGTCTCATCAGGTCGCGATGCGTTCGAGAGAAGTTGATACGTATCTCTGATAACCTCGATGTGCATTGGAATGATATGATTGAAAATATTCGAAAGGCTCGAGCGCTAAATACGCCGAGCTTGCACGAGCGTGAATTTGACACGCGAGTGCAACGGAAGGGGGATCCATAAATCATTAATGCTGCGATCCGGCATTCCTCCGTTAATGAGATCGCCTCTCATGGGATGAAGCCGGAGTTGATTTTCCCGAATGTTGAGCATCAAGAGCATCAGCTAACTAAACATTACGATTATATCACGACTTGTCTTTCACTTAGTTTCAAGTGAATTCTACGTAACTGATTTACCGCTGGACAATACATTTCAAATATTTGAAAATTATGTCGAATAAAAATCCTTTATACTATATAATAGATTTTTTTAGAATTGTTTTTATTAAATAAAAATATAAAAAGATCTTGTTGAACAAGCTTGTGATGTTCAATAAAAATTCTGTCCATTTCTTCACGGAAATTCGGCTAAAATGAAAGAATTAATATAGGACAAAACTAAAAAGACTGACTGGGCGCGCGATCAGAATTGAATTAGCCAGAGGCGGCAAGTGTCATTTAATCACGAGTGTGGTTTTACAGGCGCAGTCGGTGAACTCTGACCGAGACCACGAGCACGGGTGCGTGACTGCAAGGATGCGCGCACGCAGGAGACGGTGCGTGATGTCCCGGTGACGACGACGGCCGCGATCACGACCACATTACGCACGCACGCACGCACGCACTCTCGCACGCGAGCTCGTACGCACGTATCTACACGAGAGAGAAAGAGAGAGATAAGGGATACAGAGAGAGAGAGAGAGAGAGAAGAGAGAGAGAGAGACAGAAAGAAAAATCACAGGCAGCTGCCGATGCCACAATGAAGCTGGGCCCGATTATCCTGTCGTGGGCCACGGCCACGGTCGGCTGGCTGGGCTCGTCGGCGACGGCGATGGCCCGGACCTCGCGCTCCCGAGACTACGAGCTCTCGACGGAATTCTTCCTGGTGCCGTCCGAGATCGGACACGGCCTGGCAAGCGTGGCGAGCGTCATCAGCGTGCCGGCACCGAATCGGACGATCACCGTCTTCAGGGCGCCGCCGGGCGTCAGAAAGAGCCAGGAAGTGGAGATGCGACCGACTCCGAAGTCCCTGCTGAAGCAACGGCCCTGGGCGCTGCCACTCGCCGCGCTCAGCGCGGCGGCGATGCTCCTCATGGCCAGCTTTGAGGTCTTCGTGTTGTTCAAGGTAGGTCTGGAAAATTATTTATAATAATTAAAATATTACATTTGTGTTCACTCGTTGTGAATACTTATGCTTTATTTCTTGCGTTTGGAAAGGAAGAGGATTACAATTCAAAGCGATAGAAGATGTAACGAAAGAAAAAGCAGAAATTTCATTCGTCTATGTGATATAATATCATTTAAAATATTAAATATCTTCATAATTGGGTTTCGTGATGATATCATCTTTGGGTCACGTAAGAATATGTTTCTAATTTTTTAAGTTTTACTTATTCTTTGTGCCATTAAATTAAATCTGTTTTGTAATTCTTATTCTTATAAAATATTATTATTTTTGCTAGAAAAAAAATTAATTGAGAAGATAATTGACACATTTTTTATATGTTTTATAAACATCTTCCGTTATAATTTGCTATCGTTGATTTAAATTCTTTATCTTTTACATTTTTCTCCTTAATTATGTCTCTTTTTGAATATTTTTCCTCCAAAATATTTTAATATCAATTTCAAAATTTCAAATTGTGATATTTATTACGCATATCTATTGTATAATCTTCATTTTTTTTCTG